GGGAGGACAGACGGCAAATTGTGGTGTGCCACCACTGACAGCTATGATAGAGACCAGAGATGGGGTTTCTGTCAGAACCGTGGTGGGTAACAGAAAACACAAGGTCTGAAAGTCCTACCACAGTGGCTTGTTGCTTTGTTTAACCACAGTTATTTTGTTTGTTATTTTATTTTGTCTCTTTTTGTCCAGATCCTACCGTAATTGTGACAAGCTCAGATGGAGATCCCTGCCACTTTCCTTTTGTATTTCAGGGGATACCATACAACGACTGTACGACTGACGGGAGGACAGACTTCAAATTGTGGTGTAGCACCACTGACAACTATGATAGAGACAAGAAATCGGGTTTCTGTCCTGACCTGGGTGAGCAACATGAATGCAAAAATTTATTCTGCGTTTATCATTTTATGAGATGGTAAAATTTCTAACCTGCTATCTTCCAGGTGTTAGCCTGTTCCTGGTGGCTGCCCACGAGTTCGGACACTCACTGGGTTTGTCTCACTCCAACATTAGAGGAGCTCTCATGTACCCTACGTACAGCTATGTGGAGAATTTCTCCCTGGATCAGGACGACATTGATGGCATTCAGTACCTCTACAGTGAGCTGACCACTCAGTACTCTTTCACGATGAATCTCGTCAAACACATGAAAACTTTGCCTTAAAGAACATTCCCATATTTTGCAGGAAATAAAACAGGCCCTGGTCCTACTCTCAACGCCACAGTAATACCTAATCCGACTAGTTCATCTGTCGTGACAGTGTCACCCATTGTAAATCCCACCAAAGACCCCTGCAAGATGCTCAAGTTTGACACCATCACTGTGATTCACAAACATCTGCATTTCTTCAAAGATGGGTAAGCAAATAGCTAGTTCTACTTATGTTCTAGAAACATAACCTATTGAGGTGCCAATCTTGCATTTCTGGTTAACAGGCAATTCTGGAAGGTACGAAGCAAGGGAGACGGAGGTCGAAAGGGACCATTTTCCATTTCTCAGAGTTGGCCAGCTCTACCTGCTGTCATTGACTCTGCCTTTGAGGATGTTCAGACCAAAACAATACACTTCTTTTCAGGTAAGGAGTGTTCTTTCAAGAGCTTATCAGAGCACCGAAATGTTAGACAAAGAGTTTTAATCATATTTTATTGTTACATTAGGAAGAAGGTTCTGGGTGTACACAGGAAGCAGTGTGCTAGGTCCCCACAGTATTGAGAATCTTGGTTTGCCCCCAAGTGTGCAGAAGGTGGAGGGAGCGCTGTATAGAGGGAAGAGCAAAGTGCTTCTCTTCAGTGGAGAAAACGTTTGGAGGTGAGTAGAAATTGACCCCTTTTTTAGACAAAATCTGTAAATTAACCCATCCTGTTAAAGGACATACAGTAGATCTCAATCTATCTCTGATCTCTACAGGATTGATCTTAAGACCCAAATGATTGACAAAGGATACCCCAAATATAAAGACACCATCTTTGCAGGTGTCCCTAATGATGCTCATGATGTGTTCCAGCACAAAGGTAAACATACCTTCTACCACAATTCTCAGGAAACCAAATCCACAAACGTCAACAAAACATGGCATACATTGTGGTCATTGTAACATCAACGTTTTGTCTTTCAGGCAACATTTATTTCTGCAGAGATCTTTTCTACTGGCGCCTGAATTCTCGCAGGGAGGTGGACCACACCGGCAATGTGAAATACGATCTTCTGGAATGCCCAAAATAATCAAGAAACAACAACTGAGATACATGCAGATGGGCAGTGAGGCTGGAGCAACCAAATGTTTCTTTGTGCAGGTGTCTGAAAGAATGTGATGCAGTGTTTGTTCATCATGCCTTTTGTATGATGTATGTGCTTTATGCAATGTGAACGACTAACTTCTGTTGAATTTGGCTGATTATTACTCATACAGCATTGGACTGAATGCAAGTCAAAGGCCCAGAAGGCAATTAACCATTGTTTGCATTCAGTCTAACATGCTGTGAACTGATGACCGTAGTGGCCTATAATTTGAGACCCATACAAGTAAATTCAACACAATCTTTCAAGATAAAAAAAAATTCATGTCTGACTGGTTCAGACCCTTGTCAGTATTCAAATATTTTTTTTTTAAATTTATAACAACATCTAATATTATTATTTTATGTCATGAGCCTATTTGTTTTGTGTGGTTTTATGAGTTTTTTTGAAAATGGTTTCAAAGCCATAAACTGCACTGGAAGATATTCAGTGTCTCCTTAATTAAAATTATTTATAAAACGAATAATTTCGGCTTTCAATGCAATAAAAATTCTGTGAGAACATTCTTTCTTTGTCAGCGTCTTTATCATTTGCAAATACTTTAATTATGGTGGTGGGAGAATCGTGTTGTGGAAATTGGTGGAGTTCATAAAACAAGAATATTCCATGGAAAAAATGAAGCAAGGCATTATTTAGAAAAACTTAGAAAGAAATTAGACAAAATGAAGATGGTCAGTTAGAAGCAGGTGAGTGTATATGAATATACATTGGCAGGGGCGGATCTACTGGGGTGGCAGTTCCCACCCCAAACGAGAGCCTTGCCACCCCTGTTGCCATCCCAGCTAGTGACTATGAATTCAGTAAATAGTTATGGCAAATCGGACATTAAGCATGAGACACACACACACACACACACTGGACTGGACATTACGTGATTCATCGTAAGTCACATGTGCCATTGCTGTCCATTGAGTCAGGAATATAGTATAGGTGGTCAGGAAACTATAATCATGCAAAGAATCAGAACAATGGACGCAATGTTTAGCAGTTAATTCAACCATAGATAATGGTAATAAGGGTTTCAG